TTATCTCTTAATCTAAATTCATCATTTACATTTAAAATTGTGTTATATATTAAATCCGCGCTATGTGATCCTAGACCACATTTAAAACCTAATATTCTCTTATCTAAATCAAATCCTTTAAAATAATGTTCGGTTACAGCTAAATAATCTTTATTGGCAACGGCAAACTAAATATCTGCCGTTAACGTAACGCACCCGCTAGTCGAGTGTAAAAGGTTTATTAATGCTTCTTTTTCTTTTTTAAATAATTTTAATAAATCTTTCCAAAGTGGTTGATCTAAAGCAGCTATCATTCATGCAACTTCCATACGATCTACTTGCTGATCGTATTTCTAAGTGGTTAGACCACCGGTTGCGCGATCAAAGGTAATTGTGTTTGGCGGAGTTCGGGTCTACCGGATTAGCTAAGCTTTTGAAGACACTTTTCAGAGTGTCTTCTCAAGTGTATGGTGCCGTGAATAGTGTCACCTTATAATTTAGATAAACAATATTTACACTGAGCTATATATTTAGTGTTACCTTCATTGTCGATCTCCTCAATTATGTCGAAGTGATCCCAAACTATCGAGGTGCGCTTGCATTTCCTCTTGGAGATTACAACATTTGCTGACGCAGACGCAGTCGTACTTGCACTCGTAGCTTCTCCACGCCCACCACCATTGCGACCACGACCTCCAGTACGTCCACCAAGGCTCGGACTCAGATTAGTAGATTCCTGTGTAACAAATTCATTAGTGGGAAATTATCCTTCTTCCAGGTTGTATTGGGCATCAACGGGAATACCACTATAACCAAAAGGATCCATTATAAAAAAAAATAAGAGTGATTTGAGAGAGATAGAGGTTTAGGATAATGTGATAATTTTTAGAAAAATTATGATAAAGATTTGAGAGATCGAGAGAGATTGAGAGAGATTGAGAGAGATTGAGAGAAATTGAGAGGGATTGAGAGAGTTTGAGTGAGAAAAATGTGTGGGGGATGGGGGGTATTTATTGGAAAATATTTGGGTTAAAAATTTGATTTTTTTTTTTAAAAAAACGGTGGTGTAACAGCTATTTAGGGTTCGCTGGGTTGGGTTCGGGCGGGTTCGGGCAGATTCTGGCGGCAACAGTCAAAAAACTAGCCATTGGATGGGTTTTCGGGCATTCAGGCAGTTCGGGCATGTCAGGCATTCGGGTAAAATTTGGGTTTTCAGGCTTATTTTCAGGTCGGGCACCAACGGTCAAATTTTTGAACGTTTTTTTTGGGCAATTCGGGCATCGGGCGGGTGGGGTATACGGAAAAATCGGGCTTGGCCGGAAAAATTCAAAAAAAAACTCTGACGGACGGCGGTTGAGGGCGTCTACACGGCGGCAGGCTCCGGCATGGTGACAAAATTTGGGCTGCCCGAGCCCGAGCCCAAATTTCAACTTTGGACGGGCCGGCATATGGGCCTGCCCGCCCGAGCCTGAAAAATTCGGGCCTCGGGCTTGCCAACCGGTCCAAAGTTCCACCACTAACAAATCTTCTAAAAAGGGAAACATACGCTGCCACAGTTAATTGGAGCAAAATTGGGTTGCTTGGCATTGACTTACTAATTTGGAGCTGAATTTGCATTGATTTGGGGCTAACGAACTGTGCACTTGGCTGGAATTGGAATTGCTGCCATTTGGGCCTTGGGCCTTAGCTGGACTGCTAGGCTGAAACGACGCTGGGGCTGCTGCTGGGAAGAGCGACATGCTCTGAGGGCAAGTAGTATACGAGCACTCGGGCCCATCAATAAGAAAGATAAGATAAGATAATAAGACAATGATAAGACATCATAATTAAGCATAATCAACTCATGCATATTTATTCATGTGAACTTACAGTTATTTTACGAGAGATAGTTTCTACTTGCTGAGCGAAAGCTCAATCAGATATGTTCATGCTATAGGTAAGAAACCTATAAGCAATTCTTGAAAGGCAGTGGCGAGCGACGGACGAATGGTGCAGATGGAAATGGATACCGTTAACATTAAAATCTTCCGCAGTAAGTTTAAGTAAAATCATGTATCTGTTTATATGATTCAAAGGTTTCAAGCATGTATGTTTAAAAAGTATATGTACATATGTATGTTAGGAAAACCGAGGTTGTAGCTAACAACCCTAGTTTTGAGTATTTAAGTTTTAGAACGTTGCAATAGTGCATGCAACAAATAAACGAATTTTAAACATGACGGTTTAAATGATTGATTTTGAAAGGACTTTAAGAAGTACTTGAATTTAAGATTTATCACGAAATTCGTTTTAAGGTCAAATTAGATGGCGCGAATGTATTGGCTAGTTTTAGAAAGGCTCTTAAAGAGTATGTGAAACAAGAGTTCAAATGTCACTCAGTTCGAAAGATATTTTTAGAAGGTTTTATATTAACTAAAATTAAGAAAAGCTTTAAGTAATTTAGTGATTCATTCTTATGAAATTATTCTTTTTATATTTAAAAAAAAAATGTTTCGTAAATTTTAAGAAACTACAGTAAGTACAAGTTAAAGTTTCAGCTACAGTAGCGGCCTCATAGGAGGGTCGTCACATAATCAACTAAAATCATTCGGGAGAGTTGTAACGACTAAAAATAAAAATTTTCAAAAAAATAAATTAATAAGGTAGAAAAAATGAAATCAAGACACTCTATGAAACCTTCCTCTGCGTGTAAAGACTATAAGAGATAATGTCATCACTACCCTCAGATTCACAACCACAAACTTGGTTTGGATTTCCTCCCAAATAAGTGTAAAAAGTCAACATTTGTGAGAGTTTTTTTTTTAAGGGAAACCGGAGATTTTATTAATCATGAACTAAGGATGTGTTTATTTCTCAATTATAATTTGAGTTATAACTTGAGTTGTGTATGTAACAGAAAAGTATTATAACAAAAAAGTAGAATTTAAATTTTTGTGAGAGAAAATACTATAGCAATAAAATTTAAATTGTGAAATGAAATACCGCATAAAGTCGAGCCAATAGTAGAGAATAGTAGATCATAAAAAAGCATACGGCTTTGATCATTCTTTGCATTTAATATGTCAAGAAAAGAAAGAAACATATGTGGAAAGTGAACCAAACAAATAACAATAAGTGGAGACACCAGTCCACACTTCAACCTTAAAAAATTTAATTTTTATTTCTACGTTTTTTTTTCCGAAAACTTGCAGTAATATCCCCATATTATATGAAAAATTCTGTGTCCTACTGGATAATTGAAATCTGTAATTATGTTTTTAAAAAAAATATATTTTTTTCTTTTTCCTATGGTGTTCGCATTCAAGGCTCTGCCGCTATAAGTAATTCCTTTTGATTTGGATTTGCGGGAAAGCTAAGAGAGGGGGGAAAGGAAAAATTTGAAAGCTGAATTGAAAGGAAAAAAATATTGACAATTAATTGAGAGGAAAGTTTTGGTTAATGTCAACGAGAGGGAGATGCTCAATTACGTATAGCTTGGTTAAATTGTGATTCATTTCATACCATGTAATTGCTAAGGAAGTTATTCAATCCAACTAATTAAGGTCTTCCAGAGACTTGCAAATTTAATTCTTTTTTTCTTATTTATTTTTGCTAGGTTACTTTTGTTTATATTTTTAATTTGTAAGAAAAAAGGGTTAATTTTGAATTGCAATTTATTTCATACCTTGTTGACCTTTGAAAATAGCGGTTATCTAATCTCATTGTGTTTCCTTTAATATGTTGCAACTTTAATATTTAGTTATTGAGGCGTGAACATCTTAAATTTGTGTGTCACATTACTTCTTGACAATATATATATATAGTAACATTAAACAAAATACTTCAAAGTCATGAAATATAATTTAAAAAAAAAAGTACAATTTTTCTCCTGCTCTAATCCCAAGTGTCGCTTCTTTCTTTACTTGTAAAACTCACTTCCTCATTGCCCACATATATTTCCTTTTATCAACGAGTTGCGTGGTTAGCACACGATTAAAACCGTTAAAATTAAATTGAAATTCCATTGAGGTGAATATTAAAATTTTAATTTATGATATGTTTGAGAGACAGTTTTGTGTCAATCTTATGTTACAAGGATAAAATGAGACAATCAAATTTTAAATTAACCCAAAAAAAAATGCAATTTGATACCAGATAAACGTACAGGTTATCAAGCCATACCCATTTACGTGGATGTAACCAATTGATAGTCAACCAATAGCAGGGGAATACCGTCATTGACTTATTGGTTTTCATCAAACTTTTCTAGAAATTAAACAACCAACATCACTTTTTTTCAACACATATAATTGTCTATTTAATTGAACTCTGAATAGCACAACTATAATAATAGATAACTTTTCCAGACTTTTTTTTTAACCTGATGACCAAATCCATTCTTGATCTCGCATGCCACAAAATGTATTACTGCATTAATCTAAAATTTGGTAGAGAAGGTTTTATTTTGTATGGCATATCCATTAGTCACGGTAAAGGTTTTATTATTATTTTTTTTTTTTACGGAAAATGTTATTTTTTCTTTTTTGCTTTTTTTAACTACACCTCTCAGTGAAAATTAAGGTAAAAAAAGGTGGCTGCCGGGCTGTCTAGTCCATTTTAATTTTTCATTTTTTTTTTTTTTTAGTTTTACAATTTTTATCTAGAAGTCAAACTCTCTCTTATCAATATGTAATCTCTTTCTTGATATCGTGGCTCAAATTAATCCATGGCAAGGGAATCCCATTATTGGTTTTTATCAAACTCTGATAGCAACTAGTCAGCTAATATCAACTCTTTGCCAACCAATTATAGCTTTCTTTTTCTTAATGTGTGGCATAGATCCATTAATTAGTCACGGCAAGGAATAGAGAAACTGCCAACTTTGTTATTTTTCTTGCTTCTTATTGCATCAGCTGGTGATAAGGTCAAAAGTGGCTAGCTAGTGCATTATATGTATGTATGTATGTAAATTTAATTCAGAAATCAACTCCCTTTTATATATCATTATGTAAATCATTTCTTCTATAAATGGAGATAATAAGCTTACATCGTGAATTGAAATTAAGCCAGTAGCACTTTACTTCTGCAAAAGAAAAAAAAAATGTCTAGCAGTGATGAGCTGATCATGAGTTCTAATGAGCTGGTTGAAGCTCATTCTCTCTTGTGGCATTCCGGACTAGACTACATGAAGTCTATGTCACTAAAGTGTGCTATTGAATTAGACATAGCAAATGTCATCCACAAGCACGGCCAGCCCATTCCTTTTTCCAAACTAGTCGATTCGCTTAAGATCCCGCCTTCCAAAGCTAATTTTCTCTATAGGATCATGCGAATCCTGGTTCACCATGGTTTCTTCACAGCCCAAAAAGTCAACGGTGGCAAAACTCAAGAAGAAGAAGAAGCTTACTCTCTCACAAATGCTTCCCGCCTTCTCTTGACGGACGAGCCCGCGTTAATCATGAATATGAAGAGTCTGTCCCTTTTCTTCCTCCTTCCCGCGGTGGTAAACTCGTGGCAATCATGGAGCACTTGGTTAAAAAATTCGGATGACATGACTTTGTTCGAGACTGCAGAAGGGAAGACCTGGTGGGAATATGCTTCTCAAGAGCCAGGCCTCAACCACTTATTCAATGATGCAATGGCAAATGATTCAAAGCTAACTGCCAAGATCATTCTGGAAGAATGTAAAGAGGTGCTTGAGGGGTTGAAGAACTTGGTGGATGTAGGAGGTGGCACTGGAACCATGGCCAAGGCAATAGTCAATGCGTTCCCACACATTAAATGCACTGTTTTAGATCTCCCGCATGTTGTTGCTAATGTGCAGGAAACAAGTACTGATAACTTGAATTTTATCGGCGGAGACATGTTTTCTGAACAAATACCACCTGCAGATGCTATTCTACTCAAGGTACATCCCAAATTGCTATTTTAAATTAGATATGATGTGTGAAACAGCAGGGAAAAAAAAAATGGAGGAGCACCGAAGACTATTTTTCAACGGTTTGATATAGTCATAGTCTCATCATGTCTTTTTTAAAGCGGATATATATAGATCTAACCATTAAATAAATAACTTAATAATTGAAAATAACATAAAAAAACATGTTCTACTATAAAAATTCCTAAAATAATTGTAAAAATATATTTTTTCTTTTTCTAATCTATTTTACTTTCTTTTAATCTATTTATGTATTGTCTTTTTTCTTCAAATGAACCAAATCCACAATTGAGTTTAATTAATTTTAAAAAAAAAATTAAGTCTGGAAAATTAATGTAGTAGCGTGGTTAGTTATTTTGTTAGCGTTTCTAGCACAACTGCTCCCAATTTATCCTGTTTTAGTAAATTGTCTCCTAACTTTTTAATTTTGATGATCAACCCTATCAACTTATAAAATTATTGCAATATGGCCCAACTATATTTGCTCAGATTTTTTTATTAGATTTAAGAGATTAAAAATTAAGAAATTAAAATATTTATGTCACATTTGAATTAAGATGCTAAAATCTTTCATCAAACGTGTTTTTTTGACACTAATTAAACATAATCACTATCAAAATGAGATATATTATAACAATTTTACAAGTTAAACAGGTAACTTATCAAAATTAAAATTTTAGGGGATAAAATGCTAAAATCTACACGTTGAAGCAGTAAATGTGTAAAATAACTTATTTTTTTATTTTAGATCTTTTATGGCCTCGTTTATTTCACCATTCGAGTTTTCAATTTTAAGTTTCTACAATAAAAAGCTCTCAGAAAATGTTACATCTAACTTTTTCTGCTACAGTAAAAAAATTTCAAAAAATGTCACACTACGTGTGGGACCATAAGAGCACTAAAATCTACACGTTGAAGAAGTAAATGTGTAAAATAACTTATTTTTTTATTTTAGATCTTATATATATATATATATATATATATATATGCGCGTGTGGAGTATGCCAGAGCATTATTATGACAATCGGTCATACTCCACTACGTGTGGGACCATAAGAGCACTACCGTACAATGTGACAACTCTAGGTGGTGATACAATCACTATTGTTGATATTCAACATTTTCATGATATATGACGGTATCATATATACGTAATATGTATAGTTGGGGATTTTTCTTTTAAAGTTGTCTAATTGAGATTCCATTAATGTGTATGGCAATTAATAGAATGTTCTGCACGACTGGACGGATGAAGCTTGTGTTACTATACTAAAGCGGTGCAGAGAAGCAGTCTTGAGCAATGGTAATAAAGGGAAAATTATTCTGATTGAAATAGTAGTTGAAACCCAAAAGACAACAAATAAAGAAACAACTGAACTACAACTCTTAAACGATGTGTTCTTTATGGGCCTATCTGCCAAGGAACGTACTCTACTGGAATGGGAAAAGCTCTTCTCTGCTGCTGGAATCAGTCATTATAAAATTATTCACACATTTGGAATCAGATCTGTCATTGAGGTTTACCCTTAAACAAGTATTATATAGTATTGTGTAGGTGTTGGTACTACATATATACATAAATATATATATATATATATATTCCGCTGTCCAATCACGCGCTGCCAGTGAAAATGTCTTCCAATCATAAACGGACGCATGGCAAGCGTTGTGAATCCATGTACATTGAATCATTTTCCTTAACTGCAAAAAGAGAAAAAAAAAAAAAAAAAAAAAGTGTAATTACACTGCCCCAACAACTGATTCTTCTTCAGTAAGATGTAATAGGTACTGATGTGGTTTGTGCAGTTAATTATACCTACAATATTCTCTCTTCTCATAAATAATTATAAATATATTATGATTGTTCTCTTGTGACGAGAATAAATTCCACTTGGTAGATAATAGCTATTGCAGCTTTGTAAAATCTTGAGATACATATGTAAAAACAACTTTTTTCAATGGAGATTTAGAAAAAGAAATTTACATGGAACAACTTTAAGGTTTTTCTATTCAAAGTCTATAAATTGGTCGAGTTATTGTATGGCTTAAAGCAAGTACCGAAACAATGATATGAGAAGTTTAATAGTATCATGATGTCAGATGGTTTTAAAATCAAAGAGTATGATAAATGTGTCTATGTCAAAGAGACTGAGAATGGCTATATCATTTTGCATCTCTATGTGAATGTATGCTCATTGTTGGTAGTAATGATAAGATAATCAAATCTACCAAGGATTTATTAAATTCTAAATTTGACATGAAAGATATGAGACCGGCTAATATGATTTTAGGGATAGAAATCATGAAAGCATCAGATGGACTCATTCTAAGTCAGTCGCACTATTTGGACAAGATACTTTCGATCTTCAACAAGGATGATTTGGCGTGGCTAGAACACCAATAGATGCTAGTCAACACCTATCCAAGAATAAAGGAAATAGTGTCTCTCAAGTAGAGTTTTCTAGGGTGATAGGAAGTCTAGTGTACTTAATGAGCTGTACAAGACTATACATAGCAATTAGCATACACAGTTAGTAAACTGAGTAGATATAAGAGTAATCCCGAAGTTGACCATTAGAAAGCGATTATAAGAGTACTCAGGTAGTTGACCGTTGGAAAGCGATTGTAAGAGTACTCAGTTACTTAAGGTATACTCGTAGCTACGCCCTGTACTATACTAGATATCCAACTGTACTGGAAGGCAATAATGATGCAAACTGAATATATGATATTAAAGACTTGAAGTCTACTAGTGGATATGTGTGCACATTAAGAAGTGCAGCAGTGTCATGAAAATCCTCTAAACAGACTGTTATTGCACGATCCACAATGTAATATGAGTTTATAGCTCTGGATAAATGTGGAGAAGAGACAGAATGGCTACGCCATTTCTTAGAGGATATTCCAAAGTGGCTGAAGCATGTTCCAACAATCAGTATACACTATTGATAGTCAATCTGCTATTGGAAGGGCACAAAGCAGCGTGTACAATGGTAAGTCTAGACATATAAGTCGTAAAAACAATATCATTAGACAATTAATCTCGACTGAGATTATCTCTTTTGACTACGTGAAGTCAAAGAATAACATTACAGATCTGCTAACTAAAGAGTTAAACCAAGATTTAGTTGATAAATCATCGAGGGGAATGGGACGAAAGCCCATGAATAGAAAATCAAGAAAGGAACTCCAACCTAATTGACGAGTGATCTCAAGATCTAGGTTTAAAGAGACAACATAATGGTAAAGATTTGGTTGTATCACTGTAGGGGTTTACCCGGTCCATTTCTACGATGAAACAGTGATGCCCGTAAAGAAAAGATTAAGCTAGGCTTTTAATGATTCTTATGTTGGGAATGGTGTCCTAGCAGCATGAGATGTAATAGGATATTTATTATTTATTTAATAAAAGAGTTTATTCATTATTTTATGTGCATATATTTATGAATATTTTATGAATATCAATGAAAATTCCGTGATTATTTATGTAACCTTAAACATTGTATATAACTGTAATATACGAGAGGATTATGTTTAAGGATAATAATCAAAAAGCAATGTTCATAATGAATTTATTTAAAGTTCGGAATCTTTAATTAAAATATTATTAATACATGTCATTCCCATTTAGAATGGAACGATGTTATCCGCATTGTTAATATGGTGAGATATTGAATGAGTGTATTTCGCATAATGAGATTATGTGGAACAAGGACACAGACACAATATAAATTTCTAATAATTTCCGTTAAGTATAGAAATTCTAATTGAGTCTACCGATGGTCATATATAGAATGATCTTAATCATGAGTTCTTAACAGACTCCTATTTATGGATTTGTGTCTTTCGATTTACTCGGTACGAATTCTGAGATCCTGAATCTCATTCTTTGTATTTTGGAGACATGATGAAGTAGGTAGCCGGAAATGTTATTACACGAGATGGAATCCATTCCTTCTTAAGAAAGAAGTACATAAATAATTCTCTTGAGGGTTGATTCGGTACTTGGACCAGTAGGAGCTCCGATTCATGAATGTGTTTTATGAATCACTGTCCATTAGAGAATCAA